TCAATGTAGGGACATAAGAAACAGGAAAAATCAAAATAACATGATGCTTCCAAAGGAACACAATGACTGTTAGCAATAGAGCAAAAAAAGAAAATTGCTTGGAAAATTTTCACAATAATTATTTTAAGAAAACTCAGTGAAATATAAGAGAACACAGACATACAACTAAATAAAACATCCAGATCTAGGAAATTTGAGGCACATCAACTAGATTTGATAAAAATTTTTTTGAGGGATATAATTGTCAAACTCCAAATTCCAAGACAAAGATAAAATTCTAAAAATATGAGGAAAAATATCAAATCATGGATAAGGGAGCCCCCATTAACCTAACAGATTCTCACTAAAGGTCTTATAGGCCAGGTGAGAATGTGTCATATATTCAAAGTCCTAAAATAAAAACAAAATTTTCCACCAAGAATACTACATCCAGCAAAGCTTTCTTTCAGAAAGAAAGGTGAAATAATTTTTCCTAAACCAGCAAAAACAGAGAATCTATCACCACCAGACCAATCCTCAAAAAAAGAGAAAAGAAGAATCTTAAGGGAGTCCTACATCTAAAGCCAAAGACTGGTAGGTAACACATAGAAGTATTAAACTCACCAGTAGAGTTGAGATCAAGAGGAGTAAAAGTTTATTAATATAGAAAACAATCAAACCACTAAGAGGGACAATATACAAAGGAACAAAGTTTGTACGAAATAATCAAAACAAAATTAAGAAAGTGAAAAGAATAAATTTTCATATAACAATAAAAACTTTGAGTGTAAGAGCTAGCCAAATAGCTCAGTGGATTAAAGCTCCTGCAAGCAGGCACAGGGTCTGGGTGTTCTATCCCCAGGCTTGCTGTGCTGGCTCTGCCCCTGGGGCACATGAGATGGCAAGTGAGACTGGGTGTGGTGGTGCACACTGGTAATCCCAGCTCTTTGGAGGCTGTAAACAGGAGGATAACTATGAGTCTGATCTAATAGTGAAACCCTGAACATCCTGTAGACCATTCCCCCCAAAAAACCCCTTTGATTATGAAATACTTGATTTCCACAAGTATTAGACTTAGATAAGCTGAGTGCTACATTATGCCACTATAAGAACCTCATTTTGCCAGTAAAGACACACACATAGATTGAAAGTGAATAATGTCTAAAGAATAAAAGAGCAAAATGGAGTATATATATTTTTTATCAAATACAGTGTACTTTACAGTTAAACTTACAAAAATAGGACAATTTTATTTTATAATGACAAGATCAATTCAAGAAAAATAGAAATGGCAATTACAAATACATATGTATGCAGTGTCAGGGTATCCAGTTATATAAAGCAAGTATTACAAGATCTAACTGGAAAAGTATATACCAATAAAAAAAATAGGTAAGGACTTTAACACCCCACTTTCATCAATGGATAGATAATTTAGACCAAAAGGAAAAAAATCAACAAAGATACATTGGTGTTTAATGATACGTATATATCCAAACAGAAATCATAAAATGTGTCATGCAAAAGCTATGAGATACATATGCTTTATATCAGCATATGGAATATTTTTTGAAATAGACTGTACATTGAGCCAAAAAACAAGTCTCAATGAATAAAAAAATTATGTATCTTCTCTGACCACAATAGAATACTAGTAGAAATAAACAAGAGAAACTTTAGAAATTATATAAAGATGGAAATTCATATTTTCTTAAATGACCAATGGGTTAATAAAAACATCAAAACGGAAATTAAAAAATTGAAACAAACTAAACAAGAAACACAATATACAAACTCCTACAGGATACAACAAAAATAGTAATAAATGGAAGTAATAAATGAATGATTACAGCAATAAGTCTCAACATCAAAAAGTTAAAGGATTTCAAATGAAAGACTTCATTATGCCATTCAGTGAAATAGAAAAGTAATAAATCACCAAAGTTAGTCTGAGAAAAGAAGTGACATAATTCACAGTGGAAATAACTAAGAGTAAAGAATCAATGAAATGAACTTTTCTAAAAAGATAATAAATTTTAAAATATTTATCTAGATTACTACCCCAAAGTAAGAATCTCAAATAAATGAAATCAGAGATAAAAATAAACATGACAATTGATATCCCTTAAATACAAAAAATTATTAGACTTTTACAAATACCTATATATCATGAAGGTGGAAAATCTACATCAAATGGATAAATTTCTGGACACTGTAAACCCATTAAAATTCAATCATCAAGACATACAAAACCATACTACACCAATAGCATATAATAAGACTGAATCGGTAAAAAAAATTTCCCAGCAGAAAAATGTCTAGGACTAGACAGGTTCATGCTGCATTTATTAAACTTTTAAAGAAGAGCTAGTAATTCTCAAATTACTCCAAAAAGTTGAAGAAAATAAACTTTCTCAAACTCATATTTAATCCAGTCTCACCCTAATATCAAAATAGTCAAAGACAATAAAAAGAAGAAAAGAAAGAAATATAGACCAATATCCCGCATGAATGGACAAGAAAAAATTCAACAAAATACTAGCAAACTAAAACTTATATAGCACAAGACTTTTACCATGACAAATCACAAGTCACTGATTTTTTAAAAATGGAAAATATCAAACATCAAAAAGAAAAGGTATCTTATATTGACATATTTGAAAAGTTGATATTAAAATGTCCATATAAAACAAAGTACTTTTATACAATTTCAAGTAAAATACAATGGCTTTCTGCCTTTAAAAAAATTCTAAACTTCACATGGGATTACAGAAGAACCATAATAATAAAACCATAATAATAAGAGGAATCTTAAGTAAAAGAATAAAGCTGGAGTCATACCTGATCTTAAAACATACCACAGAACTATAGTAACCAAAACAACATGATACTGGAATAAAAGTCAGCACATTTATGAAAAGAACAGAATAGAGAACCCAGAAATAAATCTACACATCTATAGGTAACTAGTCTCTGATGATGTTGCTAAAAGCATATACAGGAAGAAAGAACAATTACTTCAATATGAGGCCCTGGGATATCGATATACAGATTAATGATATCCTTATCTAGTCCTCTTTATAAATATAAATCCAGAAGGGGCCAAAGACCTTAATGCAACACCACAAATCATGAAACCCCAAAGCAAATATAGAGGAGACACTGAGACATTGCTATAGGCAATGAAAAACACAGGTAACAAAAACAAAAATAAATGTTTGGTTATATATAACTAAGAAGTTCTTAAAAGCAAAAGAAATAGGAATGAAGAGATAACTTACAGAATGCGATAAAATATTTCTTAACAATCAATTTGACATCACATTAGTGTCCAGAAAATAAGTCACCCAAAAATCTCAATAGAAAAAAACCCTAAATAATTCAATTTGAAAATTTTGAAATGATCTGAATAAGCATTTATTTCAAGAAAGTACAAACATCTGATAGATATATAAAAATGCTCCATATTACTAATCAAAGAGAAAGTATAAGCTAAACATGAAAATGAGATGTTATTGGCTACTTTTTTGTTATTTCAACAACTATTTATGATAAACCAACTTGTGAGGAGGAAAGATTCATTTGGATTTAATTCCAGAGGTTCCACTCCATGATAGCTTGGACCATTGCTTTTGGACCTGTGATAAAGTGGGACAACCCTAGTGGGACTATGTGAAAAAGGAAACTGCTTACCACACTGAGGCAAGAAAACTGAAAGAGGGAAGATAGGAGGCCTCAGTGCTCCCTGCAAGGATGTGGCCCTAGCGTCCTAACTTCCTACCACTAGACCCACCTCTTAAATATTCTGCATCCCTCCCTACCCAATAGTGCCACTGGCTTCAGTGATCATGCCTCTAACATGTTGACTTTGGAAAGACATTTAAAATCCAAGCTCTATTACATATCATATTCCAGTCAGAATGTCTATTATTATTATTATTATTATTATTAGAAGAAGAAGAAGAAGAA